CTGATATAGTGAATTTTGCAGTGCTTTTATGTATGTAGATCAAAAACGGCCAGGTTGTAATTTGCATATCCTCTGTTAAATAGTTTTTATGACCGTCTGGCTTAGCTTTGGCATGGCTTAATTGGTCTCCGAGACAAATGTTCTAAATAACAAAATTAATATATCACAATTTAGTTTTTTTAATTTTTTTTTATTTAATTTTCATTTTTCACCCAACATCCATTTGTGCATTTAAATATGTATGTATGTGTTACTCTTTAATTGTCTCTAATTGTTGATGCGCTTTTCTCTCCTCTCTGTGCGGTTCTACAGTAAATTTATCATCTATTTGCTGCATGCAATTGATCATATTTATAATATTTTTGCGGTTTGTTATGCCGTTAAGCTAAATGAATTTATCACACGCATGTTCTGTGTTTAAGAACAGTGGAGTATACGAGTACACGTACAAATGCATATTTATTGAATGAGTGAAGATACCAGAAAAGTATTTCAAATGAGAGCACGAGTGTTTGTCAATATTTTTTTGTATAGTCATTCCGAAATGAGTTAGTTTAGATAGTTCAGAGAATTAACAAGAATGCGGTAAGTTGACCAAAAAAAAAAAAAAAAGAAACCAAAAAAAATTCCTTTAGTATTTATTCGATTTCTTTGTACTTTTTTATCTTCTCTACAAAATCGCCATTGATTTCAATACTTTTCATAAACCTGTAGATCCACTTCTGAAAACAGTCTTCAAAATTGTGTTTTTTGAGCTTACCAAGTTCAGATTTATCCACATTAATTATCTCCTCTTTTTGGGCAAGCAGATTTCTTCCTGTATTACATATGATCACTTAATATTCGATATAGCCATAGTATTCAAGCCCAATCCAATAACAATCATTTCTGTGTCAAACGTGGATCTTCGTCAATTTTGGACTTCAACAGAGTTACCATGACGTCAGCAGTGGAAAGTTTTGGTCGTCCTACTCAGGGTTCGTTCCCAACGAAAAAATGTCTGTTCTAGAATCTTCGGAACTACTTAGAATTAGTTGTTAAAGACGGTGCAATCATTCCATATGCAATTTGGCATTCACTGAATATTTGTACTGGCTGTAAATTACGCCGAAACCCGCAGAGAATCACAAAGTGAATTTCTATTTGTGTCGATGGTGAAATTTCGTCTGAACTATCCTCAGCTATATTGCGTTTTCTCGTCCTGATTTAGCTCATCGTTTAAAAATTTGAAATTTGGTATTTGTTGGTTAAAAAAAATCTCGTACTGACAGAATTTTTGTTAATCCCCTCGTACATTGAGTACAAATGTAGATACATACCCTGTGTAACAGATACAAAGTGTAAATTATAATGCATGGTTTTTATTTTCATTTCAACTAGTTTTTGTTCCAACCTTCTTTTATGCTGCCATAAAAATTACCAATTTTCCTATAATGCATCAGCAGCATACTAGTTGAATACCATTTCGTTCTTGCAATTTTACTCTAATATGTAATATAAATTACCTCTACCCATCAGTTATCGTGCCATAGATCTAAAAAGGTGTCACAGAAAACACTTTACAACAGAATGGTTGATAAATTGTGATAATGCATACAATACTGGTATGTCTTTATCACCTAAATACTAGTCTACAGCAAGAACTTTAACATACAGTGAGATATTTCACTGATCCTCTACAGCGTGCACTTAATTAGTAGAGTTACATATGATGCTAGTCCGAAACTTATCTAATACTAGATTTTCCTGGCTGAAAATATAATGTTTCAAAAAATTCAAAATCAATAACTTTTTTTAACTAATAAATAGCAAACACCATGATGAAAAACTTCTTTTTTTTTGTATTAATTTAATGAATACTTTCAAGTGCTTCATTATCAGTTTCAAATGATTATTTTTCTAATTTGGCGATAAGTTAATTTAAAAAAATCCTACTCGAAAACTAGTACTGAATTTCATTTAAATATTTATTTAAACATTCATAATTTTAGTTTGGTTTGAAACCGAACTGGTAACCTTTCTTAACGTTCTGAACTAGTATGGGAATGGCATAGTTATAACAACTGAAACACTAGTTCTTTATAAATTTTTAAGATGAAATTATGGTAGACTAGGGAGCTGCGTTTAATGGGAATACTAGTTACGAAATAATGTATAACTAGTTAATTTAACTATGGGATACTCAAATCTTTAGTTATTCATAAACCGAATAAATGTGACACCAACATAACGTACTTATTGCAATGCGAGAGAAAAGTCTGTCAGACACTGTGACACACATATACAATTACAGAGTGCTTAGTAGGTAAATGACTTTAATTGTATAGTTTTTACATACATATATGGATAAACATTTGTTTGTTTGTGAGTAAAATCATTTGCATTTATACTTTTATAAGCCTCGAGTTTCATATGTTTGTCGTCTGACTTTTATTGCCTGTTGATGATGACGATGCTGATGCCATTGCTGTTGCTGCTGCTGCTGCTGCTGATCACCGGTTCCGACTGTTTACTTCACTTTGAAGACATCTGTTGGGCATTGTTCCACTAACTTAATTCTTATTATATTTCATGTGAGTATTGTTGCTGCATTGCGCAACAATAAACGGGCGTGTAATGACGCTGACAACAACAAAGGCAATTGTTTGCAACATGCAACGTAAAAGTGGGCTTTTTAATATACCCTCCTTGCATAAGTAATGATGTAATAATTTTAAGGCGTTGATTTTAACATTGGGATATCTAAAAGGGAAGAACTGTTTCAAATTTATGCTGAAAAAAAAAATTACCCCTGGAGCTTGTTAGCCAGGGTGTATTTGTTTTAGTTCGTAGTTTAAGTCTATCTTTAAAAAAAAATTTATAGTCACCTCAAAGGTTGCTCATAAAATAAATTAGCCTTCGCTCATGGAAGGCATAAAGCTTTTGTCAGAGTCACATACAACTTTTCCTAAATGTTCTCTGTTTTTTCTTTTATTCTTATTTTCTCCTATCTTTTTTCATTATAACAACTCTAGTTAAAATTGTACTTTGCTTTAAATAATCTTTTTGTCATGAAAATTGGTATTCAGTTACAAACATAAATGGTCGTGAGTGCATTGCTCTCAATTTCTATGTACAGTTATATATCATATAAAGAAGCGCAACAGTGTTGCATGTTTAGCCGTTGTTAGTATGCAAATCTGTAATAAATAATTACATTACGAAAACATATTTGGTTTGTATTGAACGGTAGTTATGCATATATGTATGTTAAAGCAATTAGTGATGTGGAAAATAGGAAATATATATATTAAATTTGTAGAGGTAAGATCAAGCTTAACCAAGAAGAAAAAATATTAACAAATGAATAATAAATAAGTGACAAATCAAATGCTTAGAAATTATGAAGGAAATGGTAGGAAGGAAAGGAAGGTACGATAGAGTTTCTCAATCTCACACTAAATATGTATTTTAAAATTGTTTGTACTTGAGAGCGCTACCAAAGCATTTTAACTGTATTAAAAATTCACACTCATTGACGTCAGTATTGTAGGTCGAAAATTTCAGTGTTGCCAAACTAATCTTTAAACAAAGAAGAAGAGAAGTCTTTATACCTCTGATGTTCATATAATATTAAAGTATTACATTTAATGTTTAAATACTAATTTTCAGTACAGTAAAATGGGTTGGGTTGGTTTGAGGTGTGGATTCTTTTTGAACATTTGTGTGTAGAATACCAAATGTCTCACTCTTTGATGCGCTTTTGACGGATTTTTGACTTAAATCTTCTCTTCAGAACAAATCGGTGAAATATTCGTCCGATATCAAATCTAAGAGATCGATGGAATAATATAATGGTCTGATCTGGGGTATAATAGAGTGTTTCGTGAACGTATAACTCGTCACGTATTTGGCATTACGCCATACGTGAACGTGTACTTGTTGTCGTAATTCGGTATTGCGAAAAAGTCATACGTTACGAGTATTTCGTTAAGAACTGTCATTCGATTACAAAATTGTGTTCGTAAACAAGCAAACTATAAAAATGTAATTCTTTTATTTTAAAATATTATAAAAAAAAGTTGTTGAATTAATAAAAAATATTATTCTAGGACAAATGCAAATATAATTAACGCGGCACAAAAGCAGTTCTACGCTGAATTCCTGCATTCACATCTAAATTTAGCAAAAACTGTTTGCCAAACTGCACACAGGTCAAGACAAATGCGTCAATTAAGGATATCAAAACGTGGAAAAGAGTATAAACAGATAAATTTTCCTTTAATTCGAAATTTTTCTCAAATTATATTTTAGGTATACACGTACGCTGACCAAAATTACCAGGCTAAAAAAAAGCTTGTAAGTTCGCTTAATCGCCCTCCTTGCAATTCATTTTCATTGGAAGATAAATAAAAAAAGTAAAACGCCAGCCATAATTACTTTTATTTGATAAAACATTAAGCATTTGCGAACAGCTGATTCAAAATTGTAAGAGAATAATATAAATGATGAACTAGAAATCTCTTACATTTTTGAATAACTACGATCCGTTCTTCTTAATAATTTTATACGATTTACTTATCACGGATTTTTTTTCGTACGTTCACAGAACGCTCGATTCGAAACCTGGTCCGCTCCGACAAATGATCAAATATCTCAAAAACTTAGGGACTAGCATGCGTAAAAACGGACGGAGAGACAGGCAGATCGAAATCGACCCAACTCGTCAACCTGGTCATCTCGACATAAATTTTATTGGGTCTCTCTCCTCTTCTTCTGAATCTTTAGTACTTCGGACCAAACTAATGCACTATTTCTTTCTATGAATGAAGTTAAAAAAAACGTTTCAAATGCCATTTCAAAACACAATAGTTAAAAGTTATATTTTACATAATATAAATATATATTTTTTTTTATTGCTATGACTTTACGACTGAAATACTAGTGTATTTTCAAAAACTCTACATTTTTTCAAAATTCATTACTATTGTATTAATATTTCACTTTCTCCTTCTTTTCAGATCATAACAAACCAAATAACCAAACGATCAACTTGAAGTTTTTCTTAACCATTGACTGATTTACTCTGCCAAAAAAAAAGTTTAAAATCAATAAATTCAATAAAAGTAATCAAATTTATACTAAGGACTTAAAAAAGATAAAAACTTTCAAACGTAGTTAGCTTTTAAACCAAATTTACAAAACCAAAATAAATTTTGTAGCTTTTTATATGCAAGCAGTTTTCTGGTCGAACAATAACTACATTATATTAATTAAAAATAGATATGGAAAATTAAATATATAAGCGAAGCAAAAAAAATTTTCTGGGAAAATAAATCAACTTTTATATAAATAAAAATAAAACAAGGATTTACTAAAAATTGTCAGTTCCACGTCATTCGACGTAAACACCTTAACGTTTACCGTTCATCTTCTTCATACTCAACTCAAATTTTCATACGCAAGATACATACAATTCGCTCGGTACAGTGGTGAAAGGAATGCAGCGTTGTCCCTATATACATGAGATGCGAGAACGTTTACTGAACGAGCAGCCGCAGCGTGAATCAGTACCGTTAGAGCAAATGGAGCGCGCAAATTTACTAGATAATCGGCAATCAGCTGATTCGAATCAGGTCGGCACAGTAGTCAAGGTAGGGGCTATCTACCATACTCGTACAAAGGATACTCTTTTAGAGTGTTTAAAGTTTTTCTCTTTTCACCGTAATAAATCATAAGAAAATATTTCAACCAAAAATATCTACATTTTAATTGAACTTTTCACTTTTTAATATAAATAAATTAACATTTTAGTGAGTTTCTTAAATTTTTAAATAATTTTTATGCTCCCAGCCTTGCAAAGTTTTCATTTTAGCAGCGTGTTTAGTTTGCCTTTGAGTGATGTTTCTAGTGTTGCCACACAGTTCAAAATTTCCACATCGAAATCTGCAGAAACCACAACATACATACTTGCATATATACTACAAATACCAACCTAATTACGGATTATCCTTGCACGAGTATTGATTGCCCCGTTTAAGTATTTATTATTAAATTACGAAAAGAAAAAATATAATTATGTTATTTATTTACATATTTATGTTTACTAATGTAAATTTTTAAAAAATTCATCTCGACCAAATTCAGTGTAAATTTAACATTAATTTTTAAATAATTCTACATCAAATATTTTTGTGTTTTATTAATTTATAAATTGGAATTGATCGTATGGCAAATTTACTATTGGTTATTAAATGCTTAAATACTTTTCAGAGCACATGATTAAAACACACACAGTTCACTTCATAAAGCTTAAAAAATAAAATAAAATAGTACATTTTATATTATAATTAAAATAATTTAAATAAAGTATAAGAAATAAAAAAATAAATAAAACAAAATATTATAAAACAAAATTAAATAAAATTAAATAAATTAAAATAAAATAAGCTGAAAAAAATAAAATAAATAATTATAATTATTTCAAATAAAAAAATAATCAAATAAAATAATACAATCGAAATTATAATTAAATTAAATTATAAGAAAGCAAAAACTGAATATAATACCTCAAAACTAATTGAAATATATCAGAATATATAGTAAAATAAAACAAGAAATAAAATAAAAAGTATAAAATAAAATAAATTTAAAAAAAAATATAAAACTAAGAGTAAAGAAAAAAAATTAAATAATATAAAGCAAATTCAAATAAAATGAAATGAAGAACAAGCTGTAATATGATGAATTAAATTAAAAAAATATAAAAAAAAAAAAAAAAATAAGAAAATGAAAGTAAAATAAAAAAAATAAAACTACAAGATAAAATAAATAAAATACAATTAAACAAAATAAAATAAAATAAAATAAAAAAATGAGAAAGATAGATAAAATTAATGAAAAAAATAAAATTAAGCAGAATTAAACTAAATATATCTATAACAGAAAACAAAACAAAAGAAGTAGGACAAAAATTAAATTAAATTAGATATAAGAAAGCAAAAACTAAATAGAATTCCTCAAAACTAAATGAAATACATCATAATATAATAAAATAAAACAAGAAATAAAATAAAAAATATTATAAAATTAATTAAATTAAAACAAATTAAAGAAAATAAAATAAATAAACAAATAAAATAAAGTAAAAAACATTATTACATTATTACACTAAATGAAATAAAACCAAATTTAAAAAAAGGAAAGTAAAATAAAACAAAAAATTAAAAAAAAAATACAATTAAGCCAAATAAAATTTAAAAAAATCGAAAAAATATAATAATAAAATAAAATTAAATAAAATTAAAACAAATAAAAGAAAACAAAAGAAAAAAGTAGAGTAAAGTAAAATAAAACAAAAAAAAAAAGAAATATAAAATGTAATGAAGAACAAGCTGTAATAAGATGAATTAAATTATATAAAATTAAAATAAATAAGAGAGAACAAAATATGAAAATGAAAGTAAAATAAAAAAAAATAAAACAACGAGTAAAAATAAATAAAATACAATTAAACAAAATAAAATAAAAAAATGAGACAGAAAGATAAAATTAATGAAAAAAATAAAATTAACTTAAATTAAATTTAAAAAATTAAATTAAAGAAAAAAATAATTTATAATAAAATTAAATTAAGTAAATGAAATGAAAATAAATTACAAAAAATAAAATGAAAGTAAAGAAATCAAATAAAATAAACTAAAATAAATTAAATAAAACTTAGCAGAAATCATAAATAAAAAACAATAAAACAAAATGTGTTAAAAGAAGTTAATATATAATAAGACAAAATTAAATTAAATTAATATATTATAATGAATTCATTATTTTATTGAATGCATAAATTTCGTTAAGTGTTTAACGGTGAATGTAACTTTTTTATTCATTTTGTAAGTGATTTTTTGTATAGAATATCTTTTTTATCCTGCAACTATTTACAACGCATGCTTTCGATTCCAATTTGAATTCGTAGTTGCCCTTCATTCTCTTTTGAAAACAAAAAATTTTAATAGCACATTAAAAATTTTGAGCTTCAGATGAATTTTTCAAAATAAAAACTAAAAATATCTGCAATATTTTGACTTCCTAATAAACTTGAAACGAATAACTAAACTAACATAAATTTTTTTTTAAATTATTTCATCTCCGAAACTGTGTTTTTACATATACTACAACTCAACCGAAATACAAAATTGTTATGCCACAACGCCGTATAAAATATATGTGATGCTATTTTGAAATCAAAAAATCACGCTTCATGGCAAAAAAAAAAATATATATGAAACAACGCATGAAATATATTTGAAATTTGCTTTCAATAAAAATTACTACAAATTATATGCGGCGCTTTGCTAAAAAAAACACAACAACCTCAACAACTACGTGGTGCTTGCAATAAATTATATTTTACGTGTTTGTAGCTACACGCCGATGGCTATCACACGAGTCCAGCACATCAGCGTACGCCTTTGGTGCCGCGCGATTTGGGCGAGGATTTCAATTTGGATTTTGACGATGATTTTCCGATCGATGTGCGACGGCCAAAAAATGCCAAGTAAGTTTATTAGTACATACATATACTAATTTTTCGTTTACTTACAAATATATTTAAAATTATGAAAAGAGTTTTTTTTTTTATTAAAAATTTTATTGTGTTGTACCCATTTGCACAAGAAACAAAAATATCCACAAATGCAATTCGTTTTGCAGTCACAACCCAACCACAATCCAATTCAACGCGAAATTTGAAAAATTATTGTTTAATTTTATTTATATGTGTATATGTAAGTGTTTCAGCGCTGTGCTTTTTTGAAGTTCGTAAATTTTCATGCTTGTAAATATTTTTTTTTTCAAATGTGTTTTATAAACGCTAAATTCGATGGAAATCCAAAACTTATTTTCCATTTAATTTATTTTCATTTAATTGGCAATTTGTTGCTGCTGCTTTAACCCTATATTGCGTGTAAATATTAACCCTTATGTGTCCTCTCCCGCTAACACGAAACCGAAAATGATTTTACCCTTTTATTTGTATATGTACATATGTATGTACTCGTATATGTTGCTGAAAATTTGCGCTTTCAGATATTTTTTAATACATATCTATTCTTTTCTTTTCTTTAATGTCCATGTGTGCGCTTATTGTTTGCGTCAAATAAAAACATCAAACATTCCAAAAAAAAAAAAAAAAAAAAAACAATCGAAATTGAAATAATGAATTCCGACAAACAAAAATGATACAATCGCCAAACACATAAAAACACATATAATCAGAAATCATTCCAGCAACGCTGTAGACCACGTTTCGGTTACCTCGGCGAAAAGGTTCGATTCTTTCATTTTTCTACATTTCATTTTTCTAGTTTTTTGCCTACGATTTTTTGGTTGGTTTTGAATTTAGATTAATTGCATACAAATAAACACTATATATTTATATAACTCATTGTTTAGTGTAAATAAATATAAAAGCAATTACAATAATTCGTAAATGAATTTGATTTGTTCATAAATTGGCCGAAAAAGAAACAAAAAAAAAAAACGTACTAACAACTTTCAACCACACTTTTGGATGTCAATTTGTTTATCTAATTGGTTTAGTTAATTTAGTGAAATTAACTATTTCGTTTTTGAAGCGAGTGTATGAGCACGGGTTTTATATAGATTTTATACTTTTCGCATGACAAAAAAAAGAATGTTCTGCAAAGCAAGTAGAGGTGTGAGCATGTCACTTTCACATAAAAATTTTGCACGTAGCTATTGAAATGTTCGTTATTCCAAGAAAACTGCACCAGCACACTTGGGTTTTGGATAAATTTGAGGTTAGGTTGAAAAATAGGCACATAAATACTTTCTTAAATCTTTTCTGTGAAAATTGAAGCACTGCAGTCTTTGCTAAATAGTGAGATTAAGAATAAATAATTAATAACATTAATCTGTTAAATTATATATTATATATTTCAAAAATTTTTCACTCACAGTATTGGAAATTTAATTTTAATATTTAACAAGCCTAACCGACCTGAAGGCTCGGGCTCAAGTCCCGGTGCCAACAACATCCAAAAAGTTATTGAAAATTAATTAAAATAAAAATTAAATTTTCTAATTACGTTCGCCCTTCGTCAGGGGATCTCCACTCTTCCGAGCGTATTTTAGACATGAAATAAAGTTCCTTATTAAAAACCATCAGCCACAAATTGGAGGAGGAACTTGGCCAAAAAAATCGCTGCAGCGGTTACAAAGGTCCAATTATATATACACCGACTTGTTAAAAGTTAACCGTTAAAATAAACAAAAAATGTTATATAAATGAACATAATTCGAATATTTAATTAAGTTTCAAAACTATTGCGTTCTTCAAAATCTTACGACCTTTATTCAAATTTTTCAAAACAATTTTTTTTTTGTTTATAAACAATCATTTCATGGTCATTTGCAGCTTTCCCAAATCCAAATCTTAATCCAACTGAGTCTTAAACTGCCTGATTGGAATCGAAGGTTTTATTACTGATTTTTGGTTTCGAAGGGAGTGAAACCAGTGGTAATCTGATGCCGTGCTAAATCTAATTGGTTCGGTTATTTTTTAGCGACTTATCAAAAAATAATGGGATCTGCTATTTATGGTAGAATATAAAGCTTTTGGAAATTCGTCGACTCAGGCAATTTTTTGCTTGTTGCCCAAAACACCCCCCCCCATGAGAGAAGGCGAGAAAAATCTAAGTCATCGAGATCAACTAAGGGGAAGGGCAGGAAACATGCTCATTCGACGGGTTGAAACTATAGAAAGAGGGGAGTTAAATACATAGGTTTTAAAGAATATGCAAAGGCTGAGTGCCATAGCATTTAGAAAATGCGTTGAGTATATCGTGGATAAATTGGAATTTAGTCGACTGCAGCATCCGTAACTTAATTGCGCCTGTATTACTCGGATCTTTCGAGGGATTCCGAAACAACGTTCAGTAAAAGAGAGTTCAAGGTGGAAGTGTTCCCTAAGGTAGCATTAGATATTTTTATTCCCCGATCGATCAATTGCCTTGTATGTACGAGTATGTTGTCAGCAAACGATTTCTTCTATTATCACCAACTACTGCCGGCTATGAGCTTTGAGCATTTTGTTACTGCTCTGTACTTTTGTTTACGTCACTGACTTTCTCATCAGATTTGAGTCGGCACTTTTTCGTCTAGCTGGTGAAAAGGTTATCCGAAAACTTCGCAGATTGTTTATGAAAAAAATTGTCGTGCAGTTAAAAAGTGGAAAATGCCGTCAGGTTAACAGTTGACTTTCGAACATTAATACGCCCAACGAACAACGTACAGATTTATCGTAGATTTCCATCGTAAATGTCTTAATATAAAAAGTAAAAATTGTTTTTGAACAGACTCTAACTAATCGTAATGAACTTGATAATAGGGGTACCATATCATTGAACCATATTCTAATATTGGCCTCACCAAAGTAGTATAAAGTGTTTTAGTTATATAAGGGTCCTTAAATTCTTTAGTAATCAGTATCCTGGCCAGTTACAAATATCGAGCAATCATCCGCATATGAGGTTAATGAATCGCCCCTGGTGGTGGAAGGTGAAGAAGATGAGAGAGGGCACTATGCTGCTGAGCAGGCCATAAACATCGGATTTTATACGGCCAAGAGCTGCCACTCTTTCGGTGACCTAACCTTGTTTAGATGATAGACTTTCGAGTGAATAGTTTGGTTTCTTGTAAGTTCAAACTTGACTATATTCTAGCAATCGTAACCCAAATAGAGACTTTGGAAGTTGCTAACGAGCGCTGATTTCGGAGGAAAAATTTTTTATACTCAGTTTTTATTCTTTTTAGTCATTATTCAGCGAATGATCCCATATATTAACTCGTTCGGTAAAAAATTTTTTGTGTTTCATTGTTATTAGCTGAAAAAGAGGCAGAACAAAGTGTGTTTCTCTTCTTTGGATAAGATAAAAACAAGATTCCACTTTTTCAATCTTTTTTAGTAAATGTAAATAAGGGTCAAAAAGACCCCTTTTTCAAAAAATTTTCAATAATTTGAGAAAACTCTCCCGAAAGACATTAATAGGCCTATCCATTCGAGGTAACAAAATTGACTTTAGTAATAAAATTTACCATTCAGTAAATTTTGTCATTTTTTCGTATTCTGAGCTCACTGTTACCCTGTAAATTTTGTTACCAGCGAAATAAGAGGTTACAAAAAATTTGCTGTTTGATTATCTGTTGTTAGTTTTGAGAAAAAATAAAAAACCAAAATGGGTAGGCATATTTTAGGCCTGGAATTCTAGTGAATGAATTCATTAAAGATGAAGAAAAAAGTGTAGAACGGTATATGCCAAGAAGTTTGCAAGAAAAAATGGCTCTTTTAATTTGGAAGATAGCGAATTCATCCAGCTTTTTTTTTGTTTTCCAGGCATATTTTCCAAAAATCAAATCAAATATTAATTATTATTTAATAAATAAATAAATAAAACTTATTTATTTCGTTGTGCACCGTCTTCCATTTCGATGTGAATAATCTTCTTTTTTACTTTACCAACTGGCAAATGTAATTTGACAAGGACGAGAAAAGCAGTGCTGCCAAAGTTTTTTCAAACATTGTAACCAGTTCGCCAGAATACCAAATTCAATTTCGGGTGTTAAAGAAAAGTAGCAAAATTTTCTTTACCGGTAATAGTGAGAATAGGCCTGACAGTATTGTTGTTCTTTCTTTTTCCATAATAATAATAAAATTTCATTAATTCAGAATAAATATTCAAACAAAAAGTCAAAGAACTTGCCATGCCAGTAGTTCTGCTTATCAAAATTCTTATATGCTCTATGGTATGTATTTGTTTTTAATTTGAATATTTTTAAGTTAAAGGAAATACGTTAAATATTCTCCGCAAAATACCCGTTTAAATTTTTTAAGTGTAGCTACACTCTCTAGTCGTGGGAAAATGTTAGGCATATGCTTGTAGTCAAACTTCTTAACTGATAAATTTTTAGCTCACTACTGCTGGCTGAGGTAAACTTTAATGTTTCAACTCTTTAAGTCATAATTTTACATTTCTTTCAACAAAAACTTATATTTTAGTAATGAAAAACTATTCTGCATTCACTCAACAACTTACACCTAAAAGCTTGGAATACTGAATATCAAAATTTAAAATTTCATATGTTATGCGGTTGGCTTTTTTTATATCGTTTGGGAGGAAGAAGTTTGGTGCTTGGCTTTATCACAATTGAAGTAGTTAAAGAATTAAAATTTTTTCAAACGAAATTCGGGTCGTTCGTTTCCAAACATTTAATATGAATTATAATTAAAATAAACCTTTTTTTAGTGCCTTTTATGAAAATGAAAATGTGTCTACTTCTAGCGGAGTCCAAGTATTCACAAAAGGTAAAATGTTCTCATGGGCTTTCATTAAAGATGTATATGTACGAGTATATATATAATATATGCTCATTCTAATAATAATATATATATACTGCTCAAATAGGAATAAAGGTCAGGCAATGCAAACCAGTTTAATATATTTACATAAATGTTACTCATTAAAACTGTGATTAAGT